ATACTTCCGTTGTGTTTGCCACCAGTTTTGAAATATTGTATAGACTTACATTTCTTGAATTATTAATGAATGTTATCAGTTGATGATAAAAATTAAGAGTATCCGCAATTGACATCAAAGTCGCAAAATTACGTTTAAAATGTGATATCGCAGATGAATTTCATTATAAGATGTATGGCGGGAGTTGTGGTAGTTTTTATTGGGTTACTTTTATCGGTCTTTGTTATTAATTGTTAATTGTTATTTTTATCTAAGAGCGTTTTTTAACTGATACCTTTAATCAGGCCACAAGATTCTATCGAACTCAACATGATTGAACTGAGACAACAAATCCGTCCATTTTTAAATCACATAACATTAATGGATGGAATCGTATTAAAGTTACAAGGAATTCTTTGAAGCTAATTAGATAACATTAAAAATTATGTATATTTGAAATTAACATTTTTTATGCTAATGATATTATGAACTCCGCATTGAAACATCACTAATCCAATTATTTTTCATAAATTAAATCTATAGATGACCAAAGTTGAAATTAAAAAATGTTATTATTCTTGTTCAATTGATTTTTTTTTTGATTTTGAATTTAATAAAACAGCTTTATTATTCAATGAAACCTTTATCCGCACAAATTTATAGTTAATAATTCCTTAAAACCTTTTTACTACGACCTAAGATTAACATTTGTATCCTTGTACATAATATAATCTACATGTAACATATTTTTCTAATAATATTTCTTTCATAAAATCTTGTGTCATTGCTTTTCTAATTCTACTCATCTTCAAAGTTCCGATATATTTTTGCTTAACGGCTTTACTTACCGAAAATAATGCCTTGCAAAAAAAAAAAAAATCTTAAAATTTGACTACCTACGCTCTGTTATTAGGTTCAATATTTGGAATTAATTGAAATGTTAACATTACACACCGTTATGACGTTGTTCTTACAGCTATTTTAATTTATAATAATTGTAATAAATGGGAGTGTTTCTAGGAAAATCAGGTTCAGAGAAATTTTTGACTAAAATTAAGATCTTAATACATTTTAATCTAATAACATCAAAAACTAAAATGCAATAAAAATCTCAATTTTGCCAAAAAATTCCCGGAACCTGATTTTCCTAGCAATCAACCCATATGAACAATACTCAAACTATTCTAATCTAACGTAAATAAGGTAATGAACAACTTACGAACAGGTACGTCTATCATACTATTATATAAGTTTCAAATTGTTCTTTTACTACAATACTTTTGTTAAAGAAAAAAAAAAAATAAAAAAAAAATGAAAAAATCTATAAGAACCTATGCTGTATGTTATAGTCCGATGAATTTTTCATAAAGACAGCCATATAACAGCCTTTATCACAAATAGAAAAATCTCTGTGCTAATTTGTCATTACAATTTAAAAATTCATAGCCTAACAAAGTTTAATGAATGATATGTAATATACGTAATATTATAAACTTTAAAGCAAGCTGATAATTAATTAGTCTTTTCATTAAAATTTACCTATACGAGATAATATAAAGAAAGTGTTAATCTTAACGTTTTCTAAAGATGATGTGGTATTTCCAATAAAATCCGATCTTTTTATATAACGGAAACAATTGACATATTTAATTTTATAAAGGACAACCACAATAAAATATTTTCTTGAGTTGGGATAGTTAATTATAGACACTACTCGTACAATGTTTCATGTTATGTAAATTCTAATCTTTGTTTCAGAATCTACATGATGATGCGTACTTTGCAAATATAAAAGTAAATTAACATTCATCATTATATAAACGATAAACTTACGTCTAACTTATTTCTTACAATCATTTATAGCTCTTATGTGACTAGTTAATAGATCTGTAATTTTCTTAAATAATATAAATTCACTGTGATAGTAAGGATAGGCCAATCAAGCTATCCCAGAAAACGTGACAAGGGTTTGAGATCTTTAGCAGGACTAAATAACTGTGTAAATATTTATCTGTTGAAGTCATATCATTGTATTCATTATTAAATATATAACTTTTTTATTTTTAATTCGAACACAAACAAAAGTCAAAAATTAGGTATTGCAGAACTAACTTTTCCAGGTGGTTTTCAATTATTTTAATACAAGAAATTTTTAATACAGAAGAAAATTTGGAAAATTCAAAATAAAGAAGATTTTAATATAGAACATGTTAAATTGATGCTTGGGAAGACCAAAGGAACCTCTTTTGAATTCAAAAATTAAATTTATGTAATTGGAACAATTTATGTTTATTTTTTATAAAATCACACCGTTATTTATTAAATAATGGATCACCGTTCAAGAACAGAAAGGTTAATTTACATTGCTTTATTTGTATTATAGAATTATTTATCGTTGTATAATTATTCGGATTTAAATTCATCTATTATAACCGGTTAAAAAAAAAATCTTTAACCAGTTAACATGTTAATCGTTTTAACCGGTTAATTAACCGGTTAAAAATTAAACAGTTCCAACCTCTACTTTACAGAAACTTGGTTTTCTTAATATGCAGTAACTGCAAAGTGACTAAATAGTAACTACCTTACTTGGTAATCGCAGCCTAATAGGTACTATGTAGTTACTGAATAATAAGGAAACAAAGTTTTGCTTATTGCGTTGAAAATAAAAAAATAATTAATCAAAATCTTAAACGTTTTTATAAAGATCTAACGGGTTTTTTAAAGAAGCGCTTGTCATTTTTTGATTTTAACAATATAATTGTATTTAGTGTTCAGAACCGGGTTGTTATTAACGGTTTCTCCAATTGAGGATAACACAAAACTAGATTGGTACAAATTTTGACCCATATCTGCCAATCCGCAGGACGCATATTTATATAAAAAAACCATTCAGCAGCGCCTGCATTCTGCAGATCAGAAGATATGCCAATTTTTTTATCAGGTTAATCCGTTTCAAACCCGTTAAGATAACGGTTACTTAATGGATAATAGCGGATAGCTTAACGGGTGATAATGGCTGATAACGGTTCTTAAGCAGGTTGTCAATAGATTTCAAAAATATACTATACTAATCTAAATTCTAATAACATAATGTCTTATTAACTCTTTTATACAGTAAAACCACTAACCCGTTAGCTAACGGGTCTGAACACTAAATTGTATTAATGCGCAAGTATTTGAAAGTAGACCTATTTAACGTTCTCGACTTACGTTCAATTTCTTGAGGCTTTCTTTATTTTTTAAAAGTATGATAAGTCAGCCGGTAAAAGCGTTGCCTTAATATAAAATATCTGCGTGTTCATTATTAATAACATGTCTCCTGTATGTTTTTAATTTCGATTGAGGAATAGATAAAAGCTAAGACATCGAGAATGTGTGCTCGTTGAGGAAATTTCTTTCCATCCATAAATGTATGACTCTTCATATCAATTATGAAGATAACACTACTGGTATATATGTTTTCAAGTAACAACACAGTCAACAAATCAAATTTGTACCTACTTCGCTTTCTTTCACGCACGCAAAAAATTATCATATCGTGGAAACCATAGAAAATGTTGCCAGACTCATCAGACATCATAGCTGAATTTTTGGATGTAAAATGCGTTTCTTCTGGAAGATAAAAAAAAAAGAGGGTAACATATATTTTGTTTATATTTTTCTTTTGAATTTACTATAACGGAAACGAAACTTATATAATAGTATGATAGACGTACCTGTTCGTAAGTTGTTCATTACCTTATTTACGTTAGATTAGAATAGTTTGAGTATTGTTCATATGGGTTGATTGCTAGGAAAATCAGATTCCGGGAATTTTTTAGCAAAATTGAGATTTTTATTATTTTTATTGCATTTTAGTTTTTGATGTTATTAGATTAAATGTATTTAAGCTCTTAATTTTAGTCAAAAATTTCTCTGAACCTGATTTTCCTAGAAACACTCCCATATATTACAATTGTTATGAATTAAAATAGCTGTAAGAACAACGTGCATAACGGTGTGTAATGTTAACATTTCAATTAATTCCAAGTATTGAACCTAACAACAGAGCGTAGGTAGTCAAATTTTAAGATTTTTTTTTTTTGCAAGGTATTTTTTTCGGTAAGTAAAGCCGTTAAGCAAATATGTATCGGAACTTTGAAGATGAGTAGAATATAAAAAGCAATGACACAAGATTTTATGAAAGAAATATTATTAGAAAAATATGTTACATGTAGATTATATTATGTTTAAGGATACAAATGTTAATCGTAGGTCGTAGTAAAAAAGTTATAAGGAATTATTAACTATAAATTTGTGCGGATAAAGTTTTCATTGAATAATAAAGCTGTTTTATTAAATTCAAAATCAAAAAATAATCCATTGAACAAGAAAAAAAACATTTTTAATTTCAACTTTGGTCATTTAATATATGAAAAATAATTGGATTAGTGATGTTTCAATGCGGAGTTCATAATATCATTAGCATAAAAAAGTTTAATTTCAAATATACATAATTTTGAATGTTATCTAATTAGCTTCAAAGAATTCCTTGTAACTTTAATACGATTCCATCCATTAATGTTATGTGATTGAAAAATGGACGGATTTGTTGTCTCAGTTCAATCATGTTGAGTTCGATAGATCCTTGTGGCCTGATTAAAGGTATCAGTTAAAAAACGCTCCTAGATAAAAATAACAATTAACAATTAATAACAAAGACCGATAAAAGTAACCCAATAAAAACTACCACAACTCCCGTCACACATCTCATAATGAAATTCATCTGCAATATCACATTTTAAACGTAATTTTGCGACTTTGATGTCAATTGCGGATACTCTTCATTTTTATCATCAACAGATAACATTCATTAATAATTCAAGAAATGTAAGTCTATACAATATTTCAAAACTGGTGGCAAACACAACGGAAGTAT